TATTTTTAATATAGCCGTCATCCAGTCACTTGTGTATATAAACTAATTATGTTGATTCATTCAATAAAATAAGAGTTCTCTTCTACAAAAGAATTTCTTCCAACACATGTAAGGAATCAAGATGGTACCGTGTTCAACAAAATGTATCCTCTTACCATAATTATTATTTTTTCCTACAAATAATTTAGAATAAATATTCTGTCCATTTATAGTATAAAACAAACTTACACTTCATTCAGTTGTATGTATTATAAATTTGTGAATTTTTATAATAAATCTTAAAAGTCACTTACAGCAATTTCTGATTAATTGATGTGTTTATGACAACAATTAAACCCAATAGTCAAGATTTTCATTGTTCCTGATTTTTTTAAACTACTGCCAATGCAAGTTGCAGAACAGAATTAAGGAAACCAAGAATCATTAGTCCACCTAACTTATTTAACTTAGTACATCTACTACTGTCCATCAAGAATGCATTTGGAGTTATTATAATATCAATACCCTTCGATCAACTAATAATTAGCCTTGCCGCAATTCAATTGTGCTTTCACGAAAAATTCAAAATCCAAACCATTCAGTCATTGAAGCAACCAAAAAATTAAAAACCATGGAGTATGGCACATTCACGAATTTATTAATTTAAAAAAAAAAAAATTAAAAAAAATCATTAGGGGCATTCCGAGAATCGAACTCGGGACCTCTCGCACCCAAAGCGAGAATCATACCACTAGACCAAATGCCCTTGTTGATATAACACTTTATTGATAAATATATATATATAATGTTTATATAAAGTAAAAAACGAGTAAAGAGCCTCGACTAATGAAATAAACCTTGTTAAAAAAATGGAAATTGAAGGTTTTGTGGTGGGAGTGTGGGACTGTGGACAGTGATAAATTAATACAAGCTGTCATCATAATTGGGTGGGAGGCTAGATCGCAATAACTATTGCACGTACACTCTTCACAGCCCACCCAACCCATCATTGAAGCTTTGTGCCAAATTACAGTGTATGACATTTACTTATCACTCAACTTTATATAATCATCTCATGTTTGTTTATTCATGTAACATACACAAATAAACATTTGCCCCCCACCAAAACATTTAAAGGGATTCATCTACACCTACCTAGATCCATAATTGTATTAGGAAAACAAAAACACTACTTTTGTTGATAGATCTATCTTGATGCCTATACATTCACCCGAGGGTTTTAACTTGTAAGATGCAAAAGTTGCTTGGTTTGGTTCATCCATCAGAGACATAAATGAAACGTCATCCATCCTTGTAACACAAGAAATTATGTGTTACTATTTGAAAAAAGTGGGATTTCTAGAATGAAAGCAAGCAAGCCAGCTGGATGTTGAATGATAAGGTGCTGGCAGTTGCGATTTTGAAACCATGGGACCACATAATTGCAAAGTAGCTTTCTAATGAAATACACATTATGTGATTACCCTCTCACAATTTCAGGCTTTTTGGAACACCTATTTTAATAAACTTGTAACTAGCTAATACACCTATTTAGGACTTAGATGCCCTACTTGGTAATTAAAATTTTGTAAGGTGCAACTTTTTTTTTAGTAACAATAATATTAGTACCGGTTGATATCTATACCTATACCATCAAATAGAACTAATATCTATACCTTCAAATAGAACTAATATCTGCTCCGACTGTATGAGCATACAGAAAGAAAGTATTTCACTTTTAGCCTAATTTACTTCATATCCAATGTCGAGATTTGATTATCTAGCATTTTTAAAAATACAAAAAATACAAAATGAAATGATAAATATTTAATATTTTAAGAGTATAAAAAATAACATTTTTTTATTTGATAATTAAGAGAATTAGTAAAAAGATGTTGCAGGTCAATTTGAAATTATTGATAACAGATGGAAAGTGCTTAGGAAGGCTTTGAAGCAAAAGGGCCAATGAATTCTTGCTGGTAGGCTCATGCTGTGCACCTTTATCTTACATTTGTTAATGATGTTCCAAAGTGCGTCGGCTAAATTTGTTAATGATGTTAACAACAATTAGAGAAATGATGCATAAGCGCTTTGGTAACAAACAAAATCAGTTTTCACTGAACAGTTGACTGCACAACCGTGCCATGTACATCTTAGACATAATGTTTTTCTTTGTTTTTACGCATTTATATTCACGGTTGAAGACAGTGTAGAACATTAAAATATACGAGGGAAAAGTGTAGTTAGGTGCTTAACATTTGATCAAAATGATTATGAGTGACATTATAATTGTTTGGAAGTTTGCTTTAGTCTCCGCAATTTTCTGCTCCCTTCTTCCCTTTTTATCCTTGTCTCCTCTTCAATCTTCGTTGTCCTGTTCTTCCCCTTAGTGACAAACCAAGACTAATACACACACACAAAGAGATCATAGCCTGTGTTTGTGAGGTGAGAAGATAGAGAAAGAATGGCATTTGCAGGAACAACCCAGAAGTGTATGGCCTGTGACAAAACTGTTTATCTGGTTGATAAGTTGACTGCAGATAACCGAGTGTTCCACAAAGCTTGCTTCAGATGCCATCACTGCAAAGGAACCCTCAAGGTTTCTCTCCCTCTCTTACAATTCTTGTTGATTATATAGTCTAGTTCAGTGTTCCACCTTTGGATCTGGTGTCTCCACTTGGTATCTGAATGTGGTGAAATCAGATTAATGAGTGGCATCAATCTTTAGCATTTCCTTTAATTAGTTATTCAGGGTTTTTGTTATATATGTAACTTAGCACTTTCTTCTCAAGAAAATTTTATGTCTCAAAAACATGCCAGGATCTCAAAAATAGGGGAACCTCTTTCCCTTTTAGTGTTTTAACTATTAAGGCCTGTTACCACATTGCAATTTTCATAAAATGAAGCTTGCTGACGGATTAATGTATCTGCAGCTTAGCAACTACAACTCTTTTGAGGGAGTTCTTTACTGCAGGCCACATTTCGACCAACTGTTCAAAAGAACTGGGAGCCTTGACAAAAGCTTTGAAGGTAACAAAGGATCTAGAATCCAATTATTATAAGCCTCACTGTGCTTTTCTTCTTAGTTACTCAACCCCACTTCCTTTTGCTTAACAGGGACACCAAAAATTGCCAAGCCAGAAAAAAATATGGATGAGGTAATAACTCTAAATTCTAGGTACTTGCAACGCACAACAGAACTACAGTTTTTCAGCATTTATCTAATTTTTGAGCTGTTTTAATTAGAAACCTGCAGCAGCCAAAGTCTCGAGTATGTTTGGTGGAACAAGGGACAAATGTGCTGGTTGTCAAAAAACGGTGTACCCCACTGAGAAGGTATAATGTTTGTCCACTAACACACAAGTTGATGTCACCAAAACATCTATCCATTGGCACAAATCTTAAGGCCTGATGCTGAGTATAAAACTTCCTGTTCTGATAATGGAATCAATATTTTGTTATGATGTAGGTTACTGTGAATGGAACTCCTTACCATAAGAGTTGTTTCAAATGCTGCCATGGAGGGTGTGTTATCAGTCCTTCCAATTACATAGCACACGAGGGAAAACTCTATTGCAAACACCATCATATCCAATTGATCAAGGAGAAGGGCAATTTAAGCCAACTCGAAGGTGACAATGAGAAGAGTGCAATTAACGGGAAAATCAATGGTGAAGAAGTTGTCGCAGAGACATGATGAAAGAGTCTTCGGTCTCAGAATTTTCCCTTTCTCAAGTTCCATATTTGTGCACCATATGTTTCTGTTGTCTCATGCTTTTACCATTACTTGCAGTCCGGGAAGCTCCTTACCCGTGACAAATATGGTATTCAATTTTTTGTTAGTTGAAGTGTGTGGATCTTTATATATTTTTGGTTGTTGTGAGCGTTTGATTCAGAATGTGTGATTCAGAAGTACAAGTTACTGCACTTCTTGAAACTCTCATGGACTTCCAATCGATATTATATACATACTTACAATATCCAAATTTCATTTCCCACACTACCCGACTGCACAACTTCCCGTCCAATTATTATACAGAAATGCAACCAATTTTCCATTCCATCTCAACTGAACATTGAGGATTCCTCCCTCTCCCTCTGAATCCAAGTATGACAATTGCACAATGAAATTTTATTTTCTGAATTGTTAAAAGAAAAAGCCTATGAGCAGTACTGTTGTGAAACACCACTTTCTTTCAAGATGACTAAATAGACTAAAATAGGAAACAGCCAAATGAATTTCAGTATTTTCGCTAAAAGGCAAGGCGCAGTAGAAGAAGAAAACAAAGCCAAAATTTGCTTATTGCTGTTGGAGAATTCTGCTTATATCCTAATTTCAGTCTCCATCTATTCAAACATTTTAGATCTTGTATTCTAATTTCTAAAACTTGTGGCATATTGACAGTAGAAGCAAGAGTCTTGATGTTTTTTTTGATTAATTAATAAAAAAATCAAGTCTTGATAATATTATAGAAGTGAAATATTTGAGCATATAAAGGTGATGCTATAACCTCGGATTATTCTTGAAGTTTGAACTGATGAGAAAATATGGAATGGAGAATAATAGAACCAAAGGACATTAGTTGCCATCATTTGGATCAATAAAATATGATGGACTGAAACGAAACATGATTATAACACCCCATTTCATTCGATATTTCTTTATTTATTCTCCCTTAATTGGAGGATATGATATGGAACATACTTATTCCTTATTAATCTCCTTACAGCCAGATCACTTCCACAAATGCAAGCTTTTCTCTATTCTACTATAAAATATCAAAACAATAAAATGACAATTTTATTCCATTTCATTTTACTTATAATTAGTTCAATTGTAGATTCGTAACGATATTGCTGAGCACTAACCCCTAACCAGAGGAAGTTGCAGGCAAGGTAGGGGGAATGGCATGTTCTTGCAACTAAATTGCAATTGCTTTCTTGCCTACAACACAATTAACAAAAGAAACTAGCCATTGAACATTGACCGGAGGGGGGGGGGGGGGGGGGGCAAGACAAGATACAGTCTAAGCAAATTGTTATTATTTCTGAAGCTAATAATACACCATGTCACAGTGTCTAGGTGACATTTGGCTACATGATTTGTCTGTGAAAAAAAATTGAAGGGAATCAAATCAATCAGAAGAAGAATTTACAGCATCCACAATACAACCATTGTGGATGATATGTTTCATGTCAACTACAAAATTATCCGAAAGGAATCCAAAACCAAAAGTACCATTCTGGTACTGCCAAATCCTTCCCTCTGCACTCCTTGGATTTATTGTCCCAGCAAGGTCTGGAACAACTAAATCATAACTTGAGCTTATATGCAGAATTCGGTTTACCACATTGTCTGATAACAGGATCTGCTGCATTCGGTTTACCACTTCACCATCCAACAAAGGGAATTGCTCAAGAATTTCATTGCTTGGTTGAAGTGGTTGAAGATGAACTCGACTGTCATACAAAGACTCTTCCTCTGGAGAAAAGGGAGATTCCAGAAATGTAGCATTTGACGTCCAGAACACTGGTGGTGCATGTCCGGATACTGAAAAATGTTCTGGAGGATCCCCAATCCGCCGGCAGGCAATGCCTCCAATATCATCATACACCACCAGGTAAAATGCCAAACTCATGTCATCACAAATTCCCTGCAACAATGGCAGTAAAAACTCAAATGAGCCATCGTACAACCACACGAAAAAAACTCCACCATCACTCATCTTCAAAATCATCATCGATCCAAAATAAAAAAGGGAAACTTTCAAATACACCCTTGGTTCACTCAAAAGCGCAACCAGCATTGACAGACAGTTGCTGATCTATACCAAAATGAATTCAATAAAAAGACACACAAGATCATCCAATCCAAATCCACTTATCCACATTGTCTTATTAAAATCCCACAAAGATCAAATTGCCCCATCTTTCTCAACATCTACCTACATCCCAATTTCCAACTATCACAATCAAAGTCTCAAATCAGAGTCACAATTTCACCGCAATCCTAACATTACAGACAAAAGTAGCCAATGCAGCCACAATTGTAGTCGCAAAGAGTCCAAAAACCTTAAAATTGCAGCCAAAACCACAATTTCAATAAAACCTTGATCATGATCATTTCCGTTGCTCATTTCAACATTTTGCAGTCTAATTACCATGACAATGCACTAGTTAACGACACAGATCACCACATGACATAAAAGACATGAATAAAATCACCACAACAACAGTCAAGAGTGAAGAACCACCTTCCAGAGACCCTGCAAGGGCCTCGCCGGAGTCGGCGAGCAATTCACAATCTTAACAAAATGCTGAGGCTCCAATCTCCTCCTCCTCGCGAGCCTCTCCTTCTCCCGGCGCCTCTGCCTCCGGGACCGGTCCCCGCCGGGGCTCCGCCGGTTCGCGAAATGCTGGTAAATCTCCGCCATGACCTTCTCCGGCGGGGAACCACTCTCCACCTCCGCCGCCGCCGCCGCCGCCTCCTCTCCGCAATCATCGCCACTGGCCGAACTCCTGTAATCCTTCCCCTCGACCACAAAGTGCGTCTTCCCCATGAAGCAAACATCCACCGCAACCAACTCGTTCTGAAACCCTCGCTTCCCATCGGGATCGAGATAGCACGCCACGTGTCCCTCCTCGGAGAGCGTCATCGAGAGGAAGGGCGTTTTGGTGACGGCGTAGGAGGCGAAATCGGAAGGGGAAACCCTAGAAGCGGAGATGAAGGATGGGCCCCACTCGAAGAAGAGCAAGGGAGGGGTTCCCGTGGCGGTGCCGCTCCGGCGCCAGAAGCCGAGGAGATTCTCCCAGTGGTGGAGGGTGTTGTAGAGGTGCTTGTAGGAGATTGTGCCCCTGCCCTTGCCCCATTGGGCGATGCGGGTGCAGGAACCCCACCTGCGCTCGCACATACTGAACCACAGCTTGGAGTCGTGGGCGCAGAGGAGGCCCAATCGCTTGGAGGTGCAGGCCAGGGTGGCGATCTCGGATGGGCCCAATAACGAGAGGATGCAGACCTGAATGTCCTCCGGGAAATCGGTGAAGGAAGGAACACGTGCGTCGCTTGAGTTATTCGCCATTGTTGATAATGAGTGAGAGAAGGTGAATAGTTAGATCGTAGATAGATATATTGTTCGTAGATTCTTCAACGCTATGGAATCATTCCATTTCTCTCGCCCTGCGTCTGTTACTGTCTTCGTCTGTGTCTTGCATGCCACTCAAAACGACAATCACTCGCGTTACGTCTCGAGTTACCTCCCTGCGTTTCGTGCTTTTTTTTTTTTCTTTTTTTTTTATGAAGTGGAAAATTTCGTGGTTGATTCTTATAGACGACGACGACCTTTCTCCCCACGGCTCGTGCCTTGTCCAATTCATTGTTTGGTCAAGAAAATTCTATTATTTATCAAATTCATTGGATTAAAATTGTTGCATAAAAGAAAATGTGTTTACATATTGCTACTAATATATCATTATGTTAATAAATATGATTATAATAAATATATTTTTTGATTAAATTAATCCATTAAATTGGATTTTATATAATATCACAATTAATTTCTTAAATTTTATGTTTTTTTTATTAAAACAAATTTATATTAATTAAACATAAACATCTATTCTATTAATATAAAGATGTCTTATTTTGGTATACACAAATTTATTCTCTCTTTTTTCTACTTTAAATTTTCAAACATTTCTCTTTAAATAATTAATTATTATCTTCTCTCTCTCTCTTTTTTTTTTTTTTTAAATAGAGAGACATGGAGTGTCCATTTCACTAATAATAATAAGAGTTAATCACCTATACACTGCTAATGTAAAGTTTTTTTACACTGGCAACTAATCATATCTCTTAATAGTGTTATGTCATTTGCTCATTTAATCAAATAAAAATAAAATAAAATAATTTAAAAGATATGATTGATTGTTAATGTAAAAAAATTTATACTGATAGTGCATATATGATTAACTATAATAATAATAATAATAATAAATTATGATATCTTAAATATTAATATTGTGTTATGTAATAACTCGACAAATTCCTACACTTTATAATATAATAACCAAGCAACAAAAAATATAAATTTAATTACTTAAAATTAACAATATCAATCAACAAACTTCATTTACCTCAAATCACTATAAGAGATGGGGGAGGAAGATGAATCGAAGAGAAGTTACTCCTATCTCTCATCACACCACTAACCCTTGATTCTCAAAAATTGAATCACAATCCAAAAATACAACCAACACTCCGGAGAAGAATATGAGTAAGTCTATGGAGTTAAGAGGAAGAAGGGTTCTTCTTTGGCTCTAGAATTTTTCTCCTTAATTACTCTCTAACTTTCTTAAAAAAATGAATTTATGAAATTCAAGTCTTAAAAAATTTTATATACCTTTTTCCAAACTTTTGATCTTAACTCAATACAACCCCTAAACAACTAAATTTATATATAAAAAGATCCTTAATTAATTCTTAGAGTTTTAAATAAACAAACAAACAACAAATCACATAATCAATTAATTAATAAAATTAACTAATCATCCATAAAACGCACAATGTTACATGTCCCTATAATATTAAATAGGCTAAATTACGTTTTTTGTTGTTGTCTTTTTACAATATCAAATTCACAATTTTGATCTTTTTACTTTTATTTTTCCAATTTTAGTCTCCAAATTTTATAAAATATGCAAATTTGATTCCCTCATTGAATGCTTATTTTTTTATCATTAAAATTGTAGGAAGGTGAAATTATTTGAAATTGATTCTTATAAAAATGAATAAATAAAAATATTAATTTGATACTTATAAGTAATCTCTTAATTTTTGGGTTGGTAAGGAAAAAAATCAATAAAAGCAAAAGTATATAATCAAATTTAAATAATTCAATAAAAATAAAAACATTAATTATTTGTCTTAATTTTGTCTAAAACTTAAAAAGCAATAACCAAAGAAGGTAGTACCAATTTTTTTAGATAAACGGGCAACCCAGAAAAGCAAACAAAACTAGGATCCTATATGATTAAAGGAAATACATGCTACATCAGCCATTAAAGGTGCGTTTGGTGTGGTGGTAGTATGTAGAATTGGAATTTTTTACTGTTTTAGAATTTTTTTTTAAAATTACAAAAATAAACATCCTCACATTTTATTTATAAAAGTAGGCCCTTTTACTATAGTAGGCTATAATTCAGTTCTTGGTGAGTTGAATTCTAACCTGACTATAGTGGTTTCCGGTGGTTTAAAAATTATATATAAAAAAAAGTGTAGGAAGACCACTAGTCATGTCGAAATTCGACTTCTTGCAAACCAAATTCTGACCTGCTAGAGTAGGGGTCCACTTTTGTAAATAAAGTGTGGGAGGTTTATTTTTGTAATTTTTTTAAAAAAATTTCTAAAACAGTAAAAAATTATGTAGAAGTGCAATGAAATGTGGATAAGTTTTGTCATTGTTTACTTATACGCAAAAATAGGTGCAAGTGTGAAGAAAGAAGGTCATAGATGTAATATGATCAATTATGTTGGAAGGCGTAATCGATTACGTTACCTTTTTATATATAAAATAAATAATAATATAATAATAAAATAAATGAATTATTAATAGTAATCATAATAATAATTTTTTTTATTATTTATATTAAATAATCTTTCTTCTATTTCTCTTCTACAAAATAATCTTATTTTCACTCTTTTCTCTTCTTACTTCTCTTATCTTCTTTTTTCATAATTTCTTTCCTCTTTGCCAAACAAGTAAGTAGAGATGAAAGAAGAAATTTCACATAAAAAATCATGAGTTGGTCATGTAGAAGAAGTTCATGCTTAATTAAAGAGTCAACAACTTCATAATTAACTTCTCTTATTGTGTACATCCTAGGGTTTGAAATGAGTCGAATAGAGCCAAACTCAATTCAGCTTAGTTAGGCCCGATAACATTTGGCTCAACTCATAGTTCAAATTCAACATGAACCTATTTTTTCAGCTTGAACTCGACTTGATTTAAGCTCGTTAGCAACTCGATTTAGCTCGTTAGCTTGAATCACATGAATCAATAATCAATTATTTTGAATATTATGTCCTTACCAAAAATTCTGCAAGTGCTTCAACGATGGGATGATATTCTTGCTACTACTCTACTATCAAAGGTCGTGGAAGGCACCTACAAAGATACTTCGACGCTCAAGTTAGAGGGGAGTTTAGGTTAAGAATTTGGTTAAGGTAGAATGATACCTTATGTTTCATATTCTTGTTGTTGCATGATTTTAGGAGATATTCTTGCTGATAAATAGTGATATTGTTATGGATAATGTGATCCCTAACTTAGAGAGATAAGATATGCGGAGATAATGTTGTATGATATTTTGGAGATATATTTGGTTATTGTGTAAAGATATTATTTGTTAGGAGTTTAACCACTTAGGGTTTGATTTCATAATGACAATCCCAAAGGCCCAATGTGGATGAGCAGAAGAAGGCCAACTTGGCTTGATCGAGTTGGATGGTACATCCCCTTGAGCTTTGAGTCCTTAAGGGCGAGAAAGTCATAAATGAGGTTGTTTTGTCAAGTTAGGTGGTTCATAATGGTATGTAGGTGGATGGTGCATAAGCCCCCCGAGATCCGAGTTTTTTTAGGACAAGAGAGTTCTTTTACTTTGGTTGTAATTAATGTGTGGTTGTTGACAATTTTCCGCATGTATTAAAGCATAGTAAATGTGATGTGTTGTCTTGGATTCTGAACCTTTTGATCGGTTAATGGTTTATATGTTAAATAGGGCGAGAGTTTCCATTTTTGCTCATAGTTTGTTGGCATTTTGGTTCAATGGGTTGCTTCTTGCATTTTGTAACTATGAGGTATGTTGTGGTGATATATATATTGGTGTTCTTCCAAGGTACTTCTTGTAATGATTCTAATTAGTTGTTGGATGCAAATTTCCGCATATGATGTTAAATAAAGACGGTTCTAGGATTGGGGATAATGGTGTTGTCCCGTGAGATGATGGTTTGAAGCATGAGGAGGTTGAGGCTTTGAGGGTAGAGATTAACATTTTATGGTCTGATTTAGATAGTAGCCAATTAGAGAGGCACTAGTACAAAAGAGGTGTACTACGTCAGATATTTTGAGCTTTTTACGTCAGAAAATATACCGACGTAGAAGCGGGAGACGTAAATTTTACGTCGGACCTGCAAAACCGACGTAAATTTACGTCGGACATTACGAAATCTGACGTAAAAAAGTAGTAAAAAAAATAAATAAAAAAACATAAGATAACCCAAAAGAAAACACCCACTACCTATACAAATAGAACAACCAAAAAATCGAATAAAACAGATAGCCACAGTAGCAATGCGAAGTAGAAAAGTGCTAACGAAACCTTGATTCATACCTGCAGCAACAATGTGCGAATGAGTAACAAAGAGTTCATCCCTCTGCAAATAACAAAAAAACGATTCAGTAACAAAGGAGAGGGAGAGGGTTTACAGAGAAAAAAATGAAAAGTGATGAAGAGTGAATGCGCGCGGTGTGCCTCGCGCTCTCTTATTCAAATTTGCGTCATTTTTTACGTCGGACCTGGTAGGGTCCGACGTAAAATGTCAAATCTACGTCGGACACAACATACCTCCGACGTAGATTTGACTTTTTACGTCAGACCTTACCAGGTTCGACGTAAAAAAGTTCGTAAAAATTACAAAAATGCCACCGCATTTTTTTTACGTCAGATTTTCATTTTTCCGACGTAAAAGGGGTGACATAATATGCTGATTTTCCACTAGTGAGGATAACGTTGGTTGTGACTTATGTGCGATTAGAGGTTGAGAGGGAGTGATTGAATTAAGAGATATGTATTTTGAGGAGGAAGGGTGATGCATTGGTCGTTGGTGATGTCTTAGTTTAGGATAACTTTATTGGCTGCTTCAGCTTGGTTGTTAGCTTGTGGGTATTTGACCGATGATACTTTGTGTGAGATGTCAAGTTCTTTAAGGAAGTTTTCAAATTTGGTTTCTATAAATTTTCTCTCATTGTTAGTGACTATGGTGTGCGGAAGGCCATATCTACAAATGATACTTTTCTATGTGAATTTTTGAACATTGTTTATGGTTATTGTTATGTACTAGTGATTCGACTTCAATCCACTTTGTGAAGTAATCAATAATGACTAGGAAAAATTTGACTTGTCCTTTGGCTACTGGCAAGGGTCCCAAGATATTCATGCCTCACATTGTGAAGGGCTAAAGAGATTAGACGTTGAGTATTCATTTGTTGATTAGTGTGTGAGCATGTAAAATTGTTGGCAGGTCTAACATTTCTTGGTGAAGGCTAGGTAATTTGCTCAAAATGTTGGCTAGTAGTATCTTGCTCGAAGCATCCTTATGGCCATCATTCTAGTACCTGAGTGCATCTCGTAGATGCCTTCATGGATTTCCCTTAGTACATAATTATCTTTTTCTTTATAGAATATTTTAGTAGGGGAAAGGTGTGTCCCTTTCAGTAAAGCTCATTGGTAATGACCACGTAACAAGAAGACCAGAGTTTTAGCCAACAAGACCAGAGTTTTAGCCAGCAAGACTCGACTAGCTAGGACTATGGAGAGCTCGTCTGTTATGAGTTAATCCCATATTGGTGTCATCCACTCTTTGTCAATGGGTCCTATGGTGTGTATAGTATTGATACTGGGAGAGGCAATGGTTTCATGTATGATCATTTTATGTTGTCCTGATTTTTTTGTTCTTGCTAGTTTAGAGGGGAGATTGGCTTAAACATTTTTTTCACGTGGCATATGGGTGATTTCGAATCTTGATATTCGGCTGTGAGTGTTTTTACTATCAAATGGTGTTTTTGCAGTTGTGAATCTTTGGTTTGGTATGTTTTGAGTATTTGTCTAGTGACTAGTTGGGAGTCGTTGTAGCATTTTAGTCTTTTGATATTGATTTCGCGGGCAAGGTAAAGACTGATGAGTAGCACTTTATACTTGGCTTGGTTGTTGGATGTTTTGAATTCGAATTTAAGGGATTGTTCGAGCATGACTCCATCTTTGTTTTCTAGGATTACACCTGCACCATTTCATTAGAAGAGTCATCCACCCTGAAGGTTTTGTTGTCATTTTTTACAAGGGGTGTGAGTGCGAGTTCTACTATGAAGTTGGCAAGGCATTGGGACTGCATAAGCCCATATGGTTCATAATTGAGGTTGTATTCTAATGATTCTACTAACAATGCAATCATTTAGTCGACAAGTTCGAGTTTCCTCAGTATCTGTTTTATTGGGTAGTCGATTTTAACTACAAATAAGTGATTTTGAAAATAAGGGTGTAGGTAGTGAGCTACTATGATCAGTGCAAGGCGAGTTTCTCAATAATTTGGTATCTGACTTCTACCTTATGGAGGGCTTGACTAATAAAGTATACTAGTCTTTGTTATTGTCTTTTTAAATCAAGACTGCGTTGATTGCTCCTTTTGTGGTTGTGATGTATAGGAGAAAGGATGTTCCTTGTGTTAGTTTGCATAGTATCGGTGGCATGACAAGGAAGGACTTGAAATGTACAAACACTTTTTCACATGATTCATTTTAGATGAATTTACTTGATTTCTTTAAGAGGTTGAAGAAGTATTTGGCCTTCTCAACCATGTTGGGAAGAAAACGGGCTAGTGATGCTAGTCTTTTGATTAGTTTTTGTATTTCTTTTACTGTCTATGGGTTTTTCATGTTGATGAAAGCTTTACATTTTTCGAGATTAACTTCAATACCTCTGTGGGTAAGCATGAAGCATAGGAACTTTTTTCCATGAACCCTGAAAGTGTACTTCTCCAAGATGAGGCACATTTGTGTTTCTTGACTTGGGCTAGGATTTTGGCCAGATCAGTGGTGTAGTGGTTGATTTGTGTAGATTTTACGATCATGTCATCGATGTAAACTTTCATATATGTTGAGGCCAATTTGTTCTTCGAAGACCTTGTCCATTAGTCTATGGTATGTCACCCCATCATTTTTAGGCCAAAGGGCATTACTTCGTAATAGTAGTTTATGTTGTTTGTGATGAAGATTGTCTTCTCCTCGTTGAGTGGTATATCATGATCTGATTATATTCGGAGTAGGCGTCCTAGAAACTAAGCAATTGGTGGCCCAAGGCGTCATCAAAAAGGCAATCAATGCTAGGAAGTGGGTATGCAACATTTGGGCAAGCCTTGTTTAGATCAATGTAATCAATGTACATTCACCAATTTTTGTCTTCTTTAGGCGATCGATTTTGCTTGGTTGCAAATGGAAAGTTTGTGGCATATGAAGTTAGGATTGATCCCTGGCATATTGGTGCTGGTTTAGGCAAACAAGTTGGTGTTTTTAATCATAATTTAGATGATGTTTTAGTGTATGTCTGAAGGTAGTTGTCTGCCAATCTTGGTTGCCTAGTCAGGTTCAGGACCGATTTTGGAGATCCCTTAACTCGTCAATTAGTGTTAGGCAATTGTCTTCGTATCCAAATTGGGGGTCAAGATTCGGACCTATGATAGGTGATGGGGTGCATAGCTCCGTCATTCGCTCATTGTTGGTGAGGGTGACTTCTTTTGCAAGTGTGATTTTGAGGCTGTCATCATAACATTGTCTTATTATGCATTGGTTAGCTCGAACTATGGTTACAAAGTTGTTGTTAGTTAGGAATTTCATGACAAGATAAGGTGTAGAGACTACGACGCCCATGACATTAAGTGTGGGTCATCCAATTATAATATTAAATGACGTGATTACCTTTATTAATAAATATTTGATGTTTAGTGAGCTAGCATGCTTGTCGTCCCTAAATTTGGTCAAGAGTTTCACGTAACCTCTTGTGTTAACCATGCGGCCAGTGAATCCTAGCAAGGGTTTAGTGTATGGTTTGATGATGTCTTGGGTCAATTCCATCTAGAGGAAAGTATTCCAATATAGGACGTTGGCCAAGCTTTCCTAGTCTTTGAGGGGTTTTTGTACCTCCTAGTTGGCAATTTGGACTGAGATGACCATAGGTTGATCGTGGTTCAAGTCCATTCCTAAAAAATCATTGTTAGTGAAAGTAAAGAGGGATAGCGATCTAGATGTTTCACTATGTGTCACAACTGTGTTGTTGAGGATCTTGAGGCCTTTTCCATGATGAGTTGGAGGGATCCTTACTGACGAACCCACGAATGATGATGTGTATGAAGTTCTTGTCATTGTCTTTATTGCCTACTAATAGCAGGTTGCGGTTGCCATGGAAGTCTTCATTGCCATGTTTCCATTTGTCGTCAGGTCTCAAGTGGAATATGTGATTGAAGGAAAGTTTCACTTTAGTCCCACGGTTACTGTATCATGATCAGGAGGAATCCAACTAATCAGATCATGACTTGTGGTGTAATCATCCAAACGACGAAGAGAAATCAAGCATTTCTCTGCTAACCGAAATCCCTTCATACAAACTATACATTTTAACAATTATTTAACTAGACATGAGGACCAGCATTGGTAAATATTGCTTCGTTTCAAATCCTCCAAATTTAGTATACAGCCACTGCATAGAAAGTGAACCAATGAAGGTATTACTAACAATTTTTTTTATACTCGACAAATAAACTTAGTATCAAAAACTTTATATCAACTCATGCAAAAGTGTTACATACCGATCATCCAACCAGTTTAGATACAAGACAAAAGTGCTTTTTTTTATAGTTTATTAACTATAGAAAATAAAGAAATTTTTTTAGACAAACACTGAAAAATCTTTCAAAGTTTGTATTCAAACACACTTTAATTATTACAATGTAAACTCATGAAAAATAAAAAAGAATAAGAAAGAATAAAACTTACCTAGCATCATCTTTATATATATATAAGATACATTGAATTTACTGGTATATATGTGTTCTTTTCTAGTAAACATTTCATTTGTTCCAATCCCAAAACAAAAAAGAATTCGTGCATGACTTCATATCTTACACAGTTAGTTGTATATATGAAACTGAAATGGAGGGTGAGAATCTCAAGACAAGAGGAAACAATATTGTGAACCCTCGAGGCTCAAATAGTCAAACATCACCACCAGTACCATTGCCTGATCTAACATCCCTCTCCGAAGACGCAGAGTTTCGTGCAACATTCCAATCACCAGAAGCAGACCCTCTCCTCTTCATCATCCTCCCATCAAAAACCTTCCCCACCAACACTTTCACCCTCTCAACACTAGGGTACCCTTTTCTCTGCACCAACCCCGAATAAGCCTCCAAAAATTCAGCATAAGACGGCACCACAAGCCTCACCGTGGCTTCCCTCATCTGTTCCCTCAAATCAGCATCGGGTATACTATACACCCCTCTATGCCTCTCACAAACCTCATTCAAACCCTTCAAAAATTTCTCAATCTTCTCACTCACCACCCTCCCTACGCTCCCCTTCCCTTCCTCCCTCAAACCCTCAACGTCCAAAACCCTAACCAAACCCCCCCACGCTTGCTTCTGATACAAGTACGCAGATTCCTCCGCAACAGCCTTGTAACCTTCCCTCATGCATTGCTCCCCCAACACCTCACCAAGCTCCGTGTTCTTCGTCCTCATGTAAATGTACCAGTACGTGTTCATCGTGAACACGTGCACCAAAACCTTGTCCCTACAACACGACCGTTTCGACTCTATGTTTCTTTGAAGCGCCTCCATCACGTTCAAAATCGCATGCCTTAACAAATCCTCGTCCGTTTCATCACCATCGACTCCTTTCCACGTTTGTTGTGTTCGTAGAATCTTAACCATGGATGCCTTGTAGTTAACCGTGGTTAGGTATTTTAGATAGTTGATGGCGTATCGCACGAGCTTTGGAACGGAACCGTCTTGAGGAGGTGGAAGACCGTCGATGTTGCCTTCTATTTGGAGGCCGAATTCGCAGAAGACTTTGCTCGATGCATCGATGATGAGTTTCTCCAACTCGCGGAACCGGGTGCATATGTCAGACCCGGATTCACCTTCGAAGATTTGTGGCATCTCGGATTTGAGACTCTCCAAGGATTCGAACATGTCCAAGAGTTTGAACAACTTCTGGGGCTCTTTGCTGCTTCGGGCCACACCTTCTCCGAAGCGGAAGAAAACGGCCATGATCTTGTCGGAGATTTTGATGAAGCATTCGGGCCACACTAGTCCCTCCATGATATCGCCCAAGACTCTTTCGCAGAGTTTCTTCTCTGAGAGGAGGACTTTCTTGACTGCAACTTCGAGGTGTTGGATCCAAAGGGTTATGGCTGTCTCCAAGGTTTCCCACTCCATTTCGTCGATTCCTTCTGGGGTGTAGGTTCGGAGGTAATCAGGGTTTAGCTTCATCAGTGCCTTCGCAGCTCTTCTGTATCTCGCCTGTTCAATAATCATGCAAAACACAAATTCTATTTATACACTTTTTTTTATTCTACAACACAGACTTAACGAAGGTTATCAAATATGGAAAGAGCATTCACATGATATTATCTGATTTTAGATTTTAATGATGATGATTGTTTGACACTCCTAGACCGTACACATCAACGAAATTAAATAATACAAGTAATGAATAATATAAGAGAAAATAGATATGATGCAGTAGTAAATTAATTTTACGATATAAGTAAGTTTGTTAATTTGTATAATAAATAAATTGCTTAATTTCAATTTCTGTCACTCATATTTTAAAATTTGTACATTTTATCCTTCATTAATTGACCGATGTCAGTTAATGTGATATATCCAATCATGTTGTAACAACAAATAATATCATGTGATCATGATTATACCTTGACGTAAATGTCAATGCATATGTCAAGACAATCATTAGCAGCAAGAGTGGTGGAAATTCGTCTAAGCACTTGAACCTCAGTGTCGGAGCCCAACTGGTGATGGGAGAAATCCCCAACGGTTCTATGCTTGATCCTGAGCAACATCTCCTCAAACTCATCCTGCACCCTAACCAAGGCCTGGTCCAGAATCCCCTCAAATCTCATCTCATCGACCTCGCTCTCATAAAGCGCCTTGAGCGCCACCAGCGCCTCCCTGAGCCTCCCGCTCCGCTCCTGATCCGCCGCCTTGGTCCGCCCAATGAACTCCACCACCTCCTGCAGGCGCTGCACCACCACCTCCACCTCCTCGCATATGAGGTTGATCCCCGCCCCCACCTCCTCCACGCACGCCACGTACTCCGCCAGCCTCTCCGCCCTCCGGTGCCGCGACTCCTCCGCCTCCAGCCTCGCCGCCAGCTCCACCAGCCTCCCCTGCAGCGACTCCGTGGCCTTGAACGTGTCCAGCAGCGCCAGCGCCGGGGACACCGCCCGCGTGATCCTCGTGTCCAGCGCCTTCCTCGACATGGCCAGGGACTGCAGGGGGAGGATTCTTCTAGAAGCCGCCGACAGCGACCCTTGCATAATCTCCAACCTCGTTTCTGCTTTTCCTAGGTTGTCCTCTGTTTGCTCCGAGGCTCGGAGGAGGGTTTTGATGTCGGAGCACGCAGAGTGGAGCTTCAGAAGGGTGGGGTCTTGGTCTTCGGGGGCCATTGCTGGTGCGGAATGAGTGATGAGTAATGAGTGAGTGTTGTATATGAAGAAAGAGGTGCGTGGGCGTCGATGTGAACAAGGAGACATATGGCGAACGATTGTGGGAAACAAACAAAACGACAACTGGGGTGCTTTTTATATGCAAACGCCGGTGTCTTTATTCCTCCTTGGTCTCAACACACGGTTAATGGGATATCATAATAATAATCACGATGATGTTGATGGCCCAGATGGCTTCTAAACACCATCTATAACTTTATTAACTTGTTATTCTTTACTTTAATAATTGGTCGTAATCTGACTTGGCTCTTTCGTTGGAACGAAATGGACTGGTAGGGGTGGGAAAATAACTGAATTAATCTGAATCCTCGAGAATGGAAATGAACCTATTTAAAAATAAAAAAATAAAAACTCAACTAAACTACTCAAATTAAATCGAAGAATTGATCTATTTTTTTTAAGCATAAAAATAAGACATGTCAAAATGGTTTCAGCTGTATCAATTTAGTCGGCTAATTAGACTTGATCACGCTATTGGTTTTTAGGTTTAAATCTAACATGTCTTTTTGGCTTCATATATATAAAAAAATTAAATACGTCAATTTAACATGTATTAATTGATTAACGATAAAATAAGTCAATTCAAATCATTAAAGTAAATTCAGTTTAATTTAAATTTTTTTAGTTCAGTTCAAATTTCTTTAATATAGTTTAGTGAACTTTTTTCTCTCTCTTCATTTTAGTGCAATTTTTATAAGTTTAATTTATTTTTCCACTCCTATGGAGTGTAGGTGAAAGATTTTATAGACTTCTTTTTATTTAGTTTAATATTTAGGAAGGAGAAGAGGAAAATGGAGGGGAACAAAATCTCTTTTCATCTAATTTTAACTCCACATTAATATTGAGAAATTTAGAGAGAATAAAAGAAGTTGTAAAACATTTTCGATATAATGTCTAAAATATTTTTACTTATATTTTTAAATTCAAAATTATAAAAATATGTATATATAAATTAATTTTTAAAATCTTTATGATTCCCGTAGAAATCAAACAAGAAAGAACTATCTCAATTTTCATCCAAAAAAATTTCTCATCCATTTTTCAACCAAACATAATTTGTAATCTCTCATTTTTCCTCCCCTCTTTCAAATCAAACAACCAAAAAGTTTTACACAATCAAATCTATTAGAAATCATCTATACTATATCATGTATATTTGAGGTTTCTGTTAAGCATATAGTGATAAAAAAAATAATTTCATAATCTATAAACTATATCTATGATAAAGGAGATTGTCTCATTTGATGTATACATTTTTTAAATAGTTTTATCCTTCAATTTTTAAATAATAAAAATATTTAAAATTAATACTCGAACTTAAAATCTTTAGATTTGAAGATCAAATACAATGCTAATTAATCTATCAAATATTAGTAATTTTTAAACATCTTTATTAAATAAAATATAGAGATATAAAATGTCTCGATGCTATTAATATTTAATAAAAGTACAATAAAATTCAATTTTCATGATTTTTCTTAGAATATAAAATTTAAGTTTGAATTAACTTTACAAAATTAATTTATAAAATAAAAGTTGTTATAACTTATATATACTATTCTAATCTTACATTCAATAGTTTTGACATTCATCAAAGGTTAAAACCATTTTGAAAATGCATTAGAAATGGTTTCACAACTTTTTTAACCGAATATATTTTGTTTTGAAAATGAGATTTGAATTTTTTTTTTTTATCCAAACTAAACTTCACGTCACCTCAAACAGCGAGTCTTATATAACTTCACATCAAATTTTTCCCTTGTTTTGAAAATAATTGTAAAAGTATTTTCAATTTGAATTAAAAACTATTTCAGTTTAACCAAATGCATTTTATGTTAAAAATTAAAACTCACGATCACTCCAAAACTGTATGTAATGACAAATTTGCAAAATCAAATGAATCGAAGAAAAAAATGGTTAGGAAGAAGACATTTACAAAACCAACACGTGGAAAATTATAGACTTAGAACTCCATGTACCACAAGCTTTGGAAAAGTGTAAAATAATAAAAAAAAAATAGCTATACACTAATTAAGACAACATTTGCATCCAAGTTTCTCTTTCTCATCTCTGCGTCGTTAGTGTAAATGCATTTTTTTTTCTTCTGCATCCTTGTACCGAGCTATTTTTCTTGTTCATGACAGCAAATTAATTTAATTAATATACTAAAGGTGATAGAGGCAAAGGGAATGATTGTACTGTAATAGTTTTCCTTTGCGATGATCTGGATGAGGTGGTACTTGTGATATTTCGGCTGGAAAATACTGTATCCTCCGAAACGAGGCTAAAATTTTGTCCAAATTTAATAATTTTTTAAAAATTTGGACGAAATTTCGGCCTTTGTTTCAGACGTTATAGCAATGCTCATTTTGGCTTGGGATGCATTTTATTTGGCAGTTTTTTGGATGTTAAATATCATTGGATGGGTTATTTTTTATTGGCATTGGAAGCACATTATACTATGACAGGGTAATGTTTCACAATTTAATGAATCTTCTACCGATGGTTAAGAGATTATCTATGGTTGAACACTTCCCAACTTATCAATGGATATAACTAGGGATGACAAAAATATTCGCACCCGCAGGTATTTGCGAGTAAAATCTGTTACGGATAATAAATGGATAGACTAATTGGGTACCCGTGAATAATGGAGACAGATAATTTTTTACCCGTTTATAAACGGGCGGGTATGATGATATCCATATCTGCGGGTACCCGTTTAATAATATTTCTTAAATATCCTAATTATCCTTGTACCGCATAACCCTAAAATTACACTCTCTCATCTTATTTTCTTACAAAAGGGAGGTTGATGATGTTACAAACATGTGTTAAGCATGTTATATAATTAATTATGTTGGATGTAATTTGATTAATTTTCTAGCTTTGATTGAACCAATAAAATTTATGTATTTTAAGTTGTTTACTTTCGTTTGGAATTATGAGATTGAATTATTGTAACTTTGTGATATGAGACTTTCACTTACTTTTTGAGTTGTGAGATTAATGTATTTTATGTTATTGATTATCTTACATTTTTATTATTATTTCAACAAAATTAACGTTAAATTAATACAAGTTCAAAATTAATATTGAATTTTTATTTTTGATATTTCAATGACATTAAATATAAACTTAAAATTATTTGTAATATAATTATTTTAATTTCTTAAAAAATTTATAAATATCCATGGATATCCGTGGGTATTCAAGAAATTCATGGATACCTGCTTAATGGATACCCGCGCGGATATGGGGTGGGTATGAGATCAATTTTCATCCAGCAGGACGGGGACGGGTTTACTATTACCCGCCCCATGGGGCCCCATTATCATCCCTAGATATAACCCTTTTGGTATGAATAGTTTATCATTCTGGGCGTGGATGTTCTTGTTTGGACATCCTGTTTGGGCTACCGGATTTATGTTCTTAATTTCTTGGTGCGGATATTGGCAAGAATTGATCGAAACTTTAGCATGGGCTCATGAACGCACACCTTTGACTAATTTGATTCGATGGAGAGATTAACCAGTGACTCTTTCCATTGTACAAGCAAGATTGGACATTGTCGCTGAACAAGGAGATAGTTTCTTCTTCTTTAATCTGATCATCTAAAATCATAATAGGGATGTTAAAAGAAAATCAATTGGATCTAAATTGATCTATAATCTGTCTGATTAATATTATAAAATTTAATTTATTTTAAATTTTTTTTAAATCAATCTATTTTATAAAATCATTTTATTATATGATATATTTTTATAAAGTAGATTGATTTATTTATTTTTTTAAAATTTAATTCATATATATATATCACTATCAAGTATATAATTTTACACAAAATCGATCTATTTTAAAAAAGTTATTCATATTTTAAAAATATTAAATCGATCTATTTTATAAAAATTAATTAACTATTTTACTTTTGTAAAATAAATTGAATTGATTTAATTTAAATTTTTTAAGAATTCAATCCATAAAGAGTCCTAACATTACCTAACATATACTCGAGTTCCACTTCTAAAAACAAAACAAAACATCTTTGTTTTCCCCTCACTAGTGAAACATGCCATTAACCAAAAACAAGGGTTTTTTCATTTGTGTGTAAATTGACATAAAATTTAACTGACTTAATTGGCGTGTTTTTGCTTGAAACATTTTAATATTTGTTTAATGGTTACATAAAATTAACTTTACTCAACGTTTTTGGTATGCCAGGTTGTCATGTACACCAAATAAAAGCATCAAAATTAAACAAGGCTTAAGCAAAGTTAGGAAGAATTAAAAATAGCATTAAACATTTGGAAGAATGCATAACCATTAACGGAAAGAGTACACTTTGTTATGGTCTCTTAAAAGTTCCGAATAAAAAAAACAAAATTTACGTTTTTTTTTGGGTTACAAGTGCGAAATAGAAGAAAACGAAACAAAGAAACTAACAACTATGTGTCGACAGTCTACTAAACTAAAAACGCGGCACCAACGTGCCTACAGCATATGCTAAAAGCAACAACAAAATTTACGTTTAAATATAATTTAGTTCCAATAAGTATGTTTATGTTTTATTTTGGTCTTTATAATAATTTTTTTTATTTTTAATCTTTAATATTGTCTATTTGAATTGGTAGTCACATCATGATTTTTAAAAATAAAAAAGAATTATTAAGGAGAATTGACCTGAATTTTGCACACCGCAAGAAATTTTCTATCACAAAACTAAACACATTTGCCTGAATTTTGCACACCCCAAGAGATTTTCTATCACAAAACTAAACACATTTGTTATTAGTGTGCGTTTGATACACCAAGATAGGAGGAGAATAATAAATACTTAAATAGTACCAACAAAATAATATTAAATATATTATAATATTATTTTTAATATTAATTATATGTCATAATAAGTTATCATTATTTTAATAAAATAAAATAATGATAATATTGTGATAATAATAATAATAATAACGATAATAAAGATAAGAAAATGGTAGAAAATGACCGTGATGGTGCTGTTGAATAACATTGATAAGAGTTAAAGTGATGTTATTAAAGAACCAATTATGATAATGAATTTTTTGTATTTGAGGCAAA